AGCTTGGTTCCCCCTCTGGCCCTCCTAAATTTGGAATCGTATCACACCAAACAATTTTGGGTTCAATGTGCAATGTGTCCTGTGGGTGGCAGTAATGGAAAAAAGTAAAACATCGTTTTACAGCGCTGCGCATTAAAACCAATCACACATGATTCTGTTGAGTTTATGGATGCAGCGGCCAATCAAAGGTGTTCAGATGAGTCATCGCTGAAACGCCGGTGTTTTGTTCAGTGCACGCGCTCGCTGACTGAATTCTGCTCTCTGGCGAATTCTCTCATCATAAACAACAAAGTGCAGATGTGTGTACGAATGTAAGTAAGATATTCATTTCACAGTGTAAACAGCTCCAGTGATTATAATGTGAGTTTTTGAGATCGTTTGAACTCTGGCTAGACTGAAGTCAGTGATAATGTTTTTGATAATGTAAATGTTCTTTCCTCTCTTTCTGTACTATGAAAGTGTTATAATTAGTAACTTACAATGTTTTTATTAAATTCACATTAAATACAAAGTCAATCATATTAAAAATATTTTATGGCATGACACCCATATCTGGTACTTAAGTAAAAAGACGGTTTTTTATGCATAGTTAATAGATTACACTATTAGGCTACTTTGGCCATCGCCCATTAGCCTATAGATCAACTAACATAATCTATAAAGGTGCAAAATGCATTTACTTACACATAATTGGAATATTTAGAATAAAAAGGAAAAAATTAATAAAACAAGCCTATATCAGTAATAAAGTGCTATCGTGGCTGCTGTGTTACACAACGAGCATGACGAGGCCCCCCCCTTCACTCATGCACCCACGAAAATAAGAGTGAGTGCATGACTCCCCTGACACTACAATACAAAATTATTTGTCAGATAAATGAAACATGATGAAATAATCATTTGAGTGTAAATTGTTATAGCTTACTTCTAGTTTGCAGTGGTACATGACATGGTGAAAAATGACTGAATGAATAATACTGAAAGTAGGTTAAAATAAATTTTTAAAAGTGTGCCTCCTAAAAGCGCAAGTGGCCCCTGCCACTGTTTCGTTCAAACACTCTTCATTCAGGAACAAAATAAGGCTGCTCCACAAATTGCTTATTTCTTCTGAAATCTCATACTCTTCTTTAGAATAAATAATTACTAAGTGACTGCTAAAAGAATGTTTTATAGTATGTATGTATGTGTGTGTTGTATGAATGAAATAAAATGGTTGTAAAGCAATACAACTGAACTAATGCTGAAAATCACCTGAAATATTAGGTAATCTGGGTACTTTCATCTACTGTTTTATGAATACTGTAAATTTGGACATACTCTTTTTTGCCTACTATTTAGTTGGCAAGTACGCATGTTCGGATACATACAGTCTTTTATGAGTGAATCATTGAATCATTTACTCAAATGATTTGTGTAAACTCACCAATTAATGCAGGAATGAAACACCACTACTATGTATTGCCACACAGCATTAAATAATGCTTTGCCTTCGTTAGAAACTATGATTACAAATATTACAGTAGTGTTCCTCTTCCTCTGCTTGCAAACAGTAAAGCACTTCCAGTACAGCTTGGATCGTGAGAGTCATGTTCTCGTGTCAACACAACACGCATGTGTTGAAGATGGGAGAAGAAAAAGAAGCTCTCGTGAACGCGCATTGGAGATTGAAGCGTAAGTGAAGAAAATTGTGAAAATTGTCATTATTTTTGTTTTTTGGTGCACGAAAAGCATTCACGTTGCTTCAGAAAATTACAGTTGATTGTTTTCACTACCCTTCTGGGCCTTCAAATTCTCAGTTGTATAGGCTGTCAATGGAGGAACACAAACCTCTTTGATTTCATTTAAAATATCTTCAATTGTGTTCCGAGGATGAACGAAAGTCTTAGGGGATTGGAACAACTTGAGGGTGAGTAATTAATGACAGAGTTTTCATTTTTGGGTGAAATATCCCTTTAATTAATACTAAATCATTCCGACATTCCTCTGATAAATTTTAGATGTGTGAAAACAGCTATGCATGAGGAATTTTTAATGCTTTTAAAAGTATTAAAGTTTTTTTTTTAATTTGTAATAATAATAATATAATATTTATCTATGTATCTATCATGGACAATAAACATTAACATTACTCTCTGATATAAATCCACTCAGTGTAGCTAAAACTGGTAATTTGCTTTCAAATGATCAGATTCTCTCACAAAAATGAAGGAACTGTAGCTAATGATGCAGCATCACTGGCTACTGAACCGTGCTGTATGTCCACTTAAAATGAGAAAAACATACAGTACTGAAGGAGTCATTCACAGTTTTGTGTATGTGAGGATGTGTATGCAAAGCGGATGTGTTATGTGTGTGTAGCTTCAAGTAGGCTTCAGGCATTGCTGTATGCTCATGGGAAAGGCTGTCCAGTCTAATTTGACTTCTATTATGCAGTCGAACACTAGCAGAATGGCTAATCAATTAACCTTTATATCTTTGCGCTTGAACGCAAACACACACATTCACACATAGGCATGCATTTCAGAACTTCTCCATAAACAACATAAAGCTTCACCATTTAGAATCATGCTAAGACCCTAACACGCCCACACACAAAAACTGCATAAAATTGAGCTGGCTCCGAGACTGTGAGTGCCTGTACCCTGTTGCTGAAGGGGGTGTCGCCACATCGAGCATTTCCATGGTGAACATGTTCGGTTGCTATGTAATTATGGTCTATTTGTATGAGAGCCTGCACCTGAAGTGGGTCTGACTGCTGCTCATATGAATGGCCGTGCATGCGTGTGTCTTTATGTGTAAGAATCAACAGCATGGAAGTTAGCTTTAATTTCAAATTTGCATTACAAGAGAAGGAAAATTATGTTTGCAGTCCTGGGTTTCGAGTGTGTGGCATTTGCATGCACTTGCTGTCTGTGCAGGTTTATGCAGAGCTCTGTTGTTGTGTGCAAGGACAAACGAATTGTGTTACTGGATTATTCTACTGTTGTTCAAATAAACTAACAAATTCCACATCTAATCACATGATTCTGTCTGACTCCGCCCATTTCTGGGGAAATAAGGCTGCACGACACAAAGCTGCCACCAGCTGCCTCACTTTCTCTCCAGCAATTATCTCCAGACCGACATCTAGACTTACAGCCCTGTCTTTACCACCGTAACTACAACAATCAGCATCTCACGGGCCTCTCACATGCTCCTTCCTGACCTATCAGCTGAGCTTTAAAGCTGCATCACCATGGAAACATAAAAGCAAGTCGAGTCAAAATCACATATTAACTGCAGATGGACACAATGAGGTCTAAGGGTATGAATTACATGAAGATGCCTGTCAGACCCCCAGCTGACAACATGAAGGTGGTTGATAATGTTTTTAAAGCTGTTTGCATGTCATATAGATATGAATTTGTCAATAACAAAAAGTTCTGTGACACTGGCGAAGATACAGATTTGTGTAGAAATTGTTTCTACACATTTAATACTAATATTAGGAAAAAAAATATTAGGTGAACAAAAAGTCAACACACAGCATTCATAAAATATTATTTGACATAAATAGCATGACATGATTCAGCCAGGTTGGACATGTTCCTGGAACAATTTCCGTTGTCACAATCATATAGGGTAAACCCTATTCCTGTACCCCTAACCTAGGGGGTTTTACAAAAATGAAATAAAATAATATTTGACAGCCATAGCCATTTTCTTCAGGCTTATACATCTAAGACAGTACCCTAAGAGTAGGTAGAAAATCAGGGTCAGCTTAATAGAAACTAACCCTTTTACAGGTAACATTTTCCACAGTATAAATGTGGTATTTATACATTAAAATATGGCTGTCATTTGAGTTCATTATCATATTTGGGGTCTGTGGGCTCAAAAAGTTTGGAATCCCCTGCTCAAACCAACCCTTGAAATCAGAGGGAAATGAATGGCTGATATAAATGTTGTTGACCCAACCCCAGCTCTACATCTAAACTTACACCTAAAATCTGGTTGATAGGAATGTTGTCCAGCTTGAGTAAATCATGGTAAGCAACATGCACAAGAATGTACAGTACACAGTGTGATTCACCCTAGTAAAACATGTTCCCAGATACACATAATTTATTGGTCCTGGAACCACCTTCTAGAAACAAATCAGTAGCCTAAAAAACACCCCAAAATCAGAAGGCACGGATTTGTTGCTAGATGAGCACTTCCAGGGCTGATAAAGGATGTTGATCCAGGAACATGCCCTATTTGGGTGGATAATGTTAAAGGGGTCATATGATGTTGCTAAAAAGAACATTATTTTGTGTATTTGGTGTAATGAAATGTGTTTATGCGGTTTAAGGTTAAAAAAACACATTATTTTCCACATACTGTACATTATTGTTTCTCCTCTATGCCCTGCCTTTCTGAAACGCGTCGATTTTTACAAAGCTCATCGGTCTGAAAAGCGAGGTGTGCTCTGATTGGCCAGCTATCCAGTGCGTTTTGATTGGCGGAATACCTCAAGCGTGTGACGGAAATGTTACGCCCCTTACCATTCTGTGATGCCCTGTCCGGCCGGAGCAACGAGACAAAAACATTAAAACCCATTATAAACGAGGCATTTGTTGCATCTACATTGTACTTAATTTTTGATGTAAGTACATAGTATAGTTAAGGCCACTTAATATAAAGTGGGGCCCTTAACTTTTATAAAGAATATCTCTTTGGATTTGAGACTTTAGTCTTTGCAATTTTACAGATCTTCTTTATGCACCAAGAGCTTGTAACACTCCAAAGACAAAGGAACAAATTTAATTGCATCATATGACCCCTTTAAATCTGAACATTTATCAACTCATGCATACACAGTCCAGACAAATACTGGTTCTTTCACACCACATGACTGACATCGTGATGTCCAAGGATCAGTGATGTTTGTCGCAACATATGACCCCTTTAAGCAAGAAGCTCCAGTTTTTGAGCTCCAATTATGACAGGAACACCAGAGATAGATACACATATCATACCTGTGTTGCTGTTGTTTATGTGTTTGAGTCTTTTCTGGTGTGTTTTGCCATTGTAGTGTATCTGTGCTTGTGCTGCGGAGTTCAGCTGAATGTTGCACACTTCACAGAGTGTGTATGACCTGTGTTTGCGCTCCCGCTTCGGACGAGAGTTTAGAGGTGGGGCGTCCTGTCTTGTAAACTCCACCCCATCAGAGAACACGCCCTCATGCCCAGTCTGTTCAGTCAGCAACCCGTCTTCAACAGGACTCAGCGGACGCTTCATTCCTAAAAGGAGAAGAAAAGTTTAAGGTTCTCTTACTTCGTTAAAGTTATGATTTCCATCTAAAAACGTTTAAACCACATTTTCTCAATTTTATATTAATACTAAAAGTTTTCTCTGACTCCATACTAATTGCATTTTGAACAATTGATTTGTCACATCGAAGCAGTATTATAAATCGTGAAAAAAGAAATATGTCCATGTACACACACACTCACACACTCAAAAGTTTGGGGTTAGTAAGCTGTTTTAATATTGTTGTGTTCTTATGTTCTTATGTTATGTTAATATCTTATGTTCACCAATGTCGCTTTTACTTAAAAATATAGTAAAACAGTAATATTATGACAGTGATATTATTATTAAAAGAACAATTTTCTATTTTAATATATTTTAAAATGAAATGTATTCCTGTAATGGCAATGTTGAATTTTCCGCAGTCATTACGTTAGTCTTCAGTGTGACAGAAATTATTCTAATACGCTGATTTGTTGCTCAAAAACATTTCTTATTAACATCAATGCTGAAAACATGATGCTGATTTTATAATTATAACATAATATATATTTTATAAATATAGAATACTAGTTTTAATGTTTTTTGTGGAAACTGATACATTTATTTGATAAACACAGTTCAAAAGAACAGCATTTATTTCAATTTAATGCATCCTTGCTGTATAAAAGTATTCATTTATTTCAAGGAAAAACTTACTGACCCCAAACATTTGAACTGCAATGTATATATATTATTTAAAACAACATTTTCTGTTCATCATGTATATATATATTATTTACAACAACATTATCTGTTCATCATTTTCTGGCGATCGCTGGGGATTACAGCATTGCTACTAACCTCCACTAGGGGGAGATATTAATCAACAATGCCCAGAATTTACAGAAATCCCTTTTTACAGTTAAATTCAGTCTTGTGTAATATATGAAATATTATGTGTATCTGCTCCTTAAAAATAATAATAATAATAAATGAATGAATTAATAAAATCTTTCCATGTAGCTCATGAATATCATTTAGTGCACCACTAGCCTACTATAATAAACTTCATAATCTCTGGACTTGTCTATCAAACACACACCTCACATGGACAAACTAGAGCATTTTACACATGCACACAGGCCCCATTGATCATGTGCCTCTCCTTCGCTAAACACCACTCCCTGACCACAGATGGAGCACAAACACACATCTGTCTCTGCTGCCCAAACATACTGTAAACCCACTCCACCCAACTCGCAACACTCCAGCTATGATTGGTTAAACATTACAAGTAAAATAAAATGTGAAAATAAGACAATCAATTAAAACACTCTTTCATTAACACATCTGTTCAGATTAAGAAGCAATGATTCTGTAAGGATTTTGATTTAAACCTGAGGGAAATGGTCAGTAATCGGTCAGTTTTATAACAATATTCATCAGAAACTGCTGTACCATTAAAGACTTTATCATTGATATTGTCAGCCCTTTGAGCTCTTACGGCAGGGCTCAACAATTTGGATGGCCAGGGCCAGTGTGAGAGATTTTGGGGCCAGTTGACTGAACTGTCACAGAGCTATGTTGTCATAACATTTTACATTTATTGATCACCTTTATGTGTTTCTATTTGTCTTAAACGTAGACGTTTGATTTTATTTGATAACTGAACATTGTTGGATACTGGGCTAGTATAAATATTTCACCAGGGTAATGTTATAATTTATTTAATTTCCCAGAAAAACTCATTCTTGAGATAAGGGCCAAAACATGTCCTATAAACAAAAGCCCTCTTTATGTTAGAAATGAAGAAATTCATCAAAATAAAAGTACTTAAAAAGTTACATCTAAAGTAAGTGTCAGGGTTCTGTCACTTCGGTCTAGTGTAATTCATGGTTTTGTGACAGAGCCCTGACACTCCCGTCATGTCATTGTTTTCATGTGAGAGTGCGGCTTCCGGGGTAGTTTTTGTTGTCTGTTTTGTTTTATTTTATTAATAAAGCCCTTATCTTCCCGCACTATTGAGTCCTCGCTCCATCCTTCATCCCCAACCCTGACAGTAAATCTGTATACTTAAGGCATTCATTGCTTTTATTTTAAATACTTTATTTCGTATTATTTTAAATACATGCTCTACACTTGGAAATACATGTAATTTAACCTGTCCTCAGCATGAGGTCACAATGTAAAACTGCCAAACAAAGTGTTAAAAATGCAACAAATTCAAAAATATACATTTATATGGAAAGATCTGTAATATATCAAACAATGCAAACATAACATTTTGAATTATATTTCCCATAAAAAAATAGTTCAAAGTTGTGTCCTCATTTTGCATCAACTCTGTCTGGATTTTTTAAATAATTCTGAATAAATCAGGTAATGTCAGCAGCAACTTTAACTCTGAGGAACCCTTTCCTATTTCATGCTCATTTTGGATCTTATAGTAGGACACACACAGTCCTGGAAGTTTTATATATTTTATACAAACAATAGAGGTCTCTTCAGTCACAGCTTTGTTAGCTCCGTCATCCCAGTGTAATAGTTTCTGTAAATAGTTGTGGGACAAATCTGGGCATTTTTGTTATGTTTATTAATGCAGCTAGAACTGAAGAAAAAAACAAAAAACAAAATTGCTCCACTGTACAACACGTGGTTAATGTGCAAACATATTCCATTTTGTCAACTCCGTCAGACGTCAACTCAGGTTTTATGTCTGACGGTGTTGACATGTAAGCTGACAGAGTTGACAAATGCTCACAAAACTTTTTATATAGTGATATATGTTTTGTATATGGGGAATTATTATTATATTAAACAGATTTTTTTTCGTTTTTGTCAACACCGTCAGATGAAGGTTTCTGTTAATTTTGAAATAACGATTTTATTCTGTTTTTCAATTTATTGTTTTAAAATAGTAAAACGAACAGAACTACATGATAATATGTCTATGTTCTCAAAGAAACATTAAAAAGGATGGTGGAAAACTAAGAGATTTAGGAATTGGATTGTTCATAATAGAGTGAAACCTGGAAAACAAAATGTAGAGAATATATATAATCACTTCAGCTCCTTTACTGAACACCATTATTACATAATTGAAGAGTTCACACTGTTGTTGGGTGGATCAAATTAAAATATCATGTTTTTTAATGCGTCTGACGGAGTTGACACAAATTAAGTTATGAAGTGAATAAATGTAAATTTTTAGAAAATGTTTAAAAAAAAATCAGAAAAACCTGTTCCCTTACATGGCTCATTAGTCGATGACCTTTCTACAAATATATTAATTTATAAATAATGTATAATTAAATAATAAAAACTCACATTTTAAAACATGTTTTGTCCGTTATCTCAGGAATCAGCGATATATATATATATATATATATATATATAATGTACAAATATATAAACTTTTATATATGTGTGTGTGCACATTGTACATATACTGTATGCACACAAATGTATATACACACTATATATGTATATACATATGTAGTATAGTATAACAATATGTTGCTACAAATATGCATAATTTTCAGGGGGCACAAAAGAAAATGTTAGTAGGGCAAAAGTACAAAAATCTACAGGGCCATCCAGACCAGCAGGACAAAATCCTTATTGTTGAGCTGCTGTCACTGCTGGTCATGCTGACATCATGGAACAGTTGAGATTCATTGAGCTCCTATTTCTCTTAGTTAAACATCTGAAAAGAGCCCTGAGGTCACCCTGTCGTCTGGACACACAGCTGAAGGAGTGGCATTGGATCAAGGAGAGGGTTGATGACACGATGATCGCTAGGGTTGTTAGCGATCTTCTGTGCTGTACTGCGCGTCTTGTTTTACGTCTTCTATCCACATCTCCCCATGAGACCGCATCAATCAGTGCATGGATATCCTGCTGAAAGTCACTCATATAGGGACATGTGTGTATTTCTGTCACTCTGCTCACACACACAAACAAACAAATGCACAAACAGCAGGGCAGATTGTCAAGCACTCCAAAAATACTCTACTGAGACAAGACATGATGTGGCCAACTTCTGAAGAGAGCACACAGTTCAAGAGAATATAGCAGTCTTTCAGTTGCTGATAGGATCAGTCTGAGTAAATAGAGTAAAAATAGTAATAAATAAATAAATACATAAACAGTTATAATTATTATAAGATTGTGTTATTATTATTATTGAATTTATTTTTATTAAATGTATAATTTAATTGTAATAATTCCCTGTACAGAACACATTTTCATCAGCCCCACCACAGAAATTATATTCTATAATTATTTTAATTTATGTGTACTGTAACTAAAAGTGAAAATGGAAAATAATAGACCTAGTAATAGTTTATGCATAACACAAACTAATTAAATTAAAAATAAATATAATATAATATAATATAATTCCTCTTTTCCCCCTCAACTCTCCATAAAAAAAATCTAAATAAAGACAAACTCACACATATACAATTACCAAAGCCACTACAAATTATACAGAAAAACACAAAGAGTTGCCTAGTTGCTCAGTCCCTTTCTCTTTTTCTGTCTTATTATTTTCAGTTCTTTTTTGATCCCACTAGTCATTCCCAACTCTGAAAGGTTTGGAATGGTGGACTTCAGCACTTTCATTCTAGCCAGATTGAAGATAAGTGGTCTTAAGTGGTGAAAGTGAAGATAAAATCAGCTCCAGAGTGCCACAGTAATATTTACTATCAGACACAATAAAGACGTGTCAGTGAAAATACAACGTCTGCCAACAGTTTTAAGCAAATGGAAGCTACAGCAGTTGTGTGCGTGACATTATTAGCCACTGGCGTTGTATGTACAGATTAATCTATAATTGGCTGGCTGAGCTCTGGGGTGATGAGTCTTCTGTTGCTTTTCCACTGAAGTGATGCTCTGTCTGGTTTGGAGACACAGCCCTGTGGAACACGATGAGTTGTGTGAACGGCTGACTGGATGCTCTCTCCCTAATAAGTTTGCTAAGGGCCGCTGGCATCACCAGTGGAGA